GCGGCAGGCGTGAGGAGGGGCACACAACAGGCCTCCCAGAGACAGGCTGGGACTCGAGAGGCTGCGATTCGGTTGCCGTGTCTCTCTGTCCGCGGCCGCCTGCGCCGCCGCATCTCCGAGCCCCGCGCCCGGGGTGAGGACCGGCACAGGCACGTCGCCGGCCAGCGCGCCGCCCGGCAGCGCGCTGCTAGGCGTCAGCACTGGCACCGGGACAACTTGCAGTGGGCTGCCATCTGCCGCCAGCGGTAGCGCCGGCCCAAACTCTGCTGAAGGCGCTGCTGCGGCCGGCGGCGGAGGTGTTGGCGCCGCCTCCGCCGCCAGCGCTTCCGCTGGCGCGGCGGGGGGAGTCGGCGCGTCCGCGCCGGCGGCGGCCGGCCCGCCCTCCGCCTTGCCCCGCCACCAGCTGCTGAGACTGCTCGTCCAGCTGGACTTTGCTGCGGGCGCCGCAGCGTCGATCGCGGCAGCGGCGGGTGGTGATGCGACATCGCTAATCAGGCCGGCCGCGCCGCAGGCGTCCACAGCCGGCTCCGCCGTCGCTGTCGCCGCCGGCGGAGGCTCGAGCGGCGGCGGTGGCAGCGGCGGAGGCGGCGCAGGTGTCGGAGGCGGCGGCTGCCCGACAGCTGCGGCGTTGGTCGCGGCGAGACCCGATGAGCCGAGCTCCTGGACCGACGCGCGGAGAAGTGGCGGAGGCCCGACGAGGCCACTCAGGCGGCGCACGAGGGCAGAGCCTCGGCGCGCGGGCTGTCGGCGAGCGAGCATGTGCATGGTGTTAGAATAAAAAAATTCATGAGATCGAAGGCTAAGATCATAAAAAAAAGATGATTGGCGCGCACTGGCATTACCGAAAAAGAAAAGGGTGTCGGTCCTGGCCTCGCTCATCAGCTAGGTCCCGTGTTGAATCCATGGAGATAGACGTGCCTGCGAACGTCGTTCGCGTGAGGCTCATTCTCACCGTGTCGCGCACCGGCGTCCGCACGGGCAGTCGGCCGTCCGCTAACATCGACTGCGACGAGTGCGTCTATTGCCGAGACAAGCCGCGACTCGGCGGGCCCGGCACCAAGCGTCAAAAGTGCGTCCTCAAGCGGAGCCCGACGGCGCATGTGAGGCTCCAGGTGCAACGCATACCCAACCACACACGACGGCTTCAGCGCAGCACCGCCCTAGCTAGTTTCACGAAACTGAACACCGGCTTCGAGTGCTCAGCGTCGCAGGGTTGGCATTGCGCCCATAGGTCTACTCGGCAGCTGCGCTGCACGACGCCGACTCAGACGCAGCGCCCGCGCTGCCGGCCAAGCGGCGGCGCATTGCGAAGCGCTCGTTCGATTGCGAGGTCGCGGCAACCGTTGCGATCGGGCTCAGGCAGCAGCGCAGGTGCGCCAGCGGGCGCAGGTGCGCCAGCCCGCTGCAGGAGCTGATCGGCATGGGCTTTTCGGAGGGCGACGCCCGCAGGGCCCTCGCCGATTGCAGCGGCGTCGTGGGCGACGCTGCCGAGCGGCTGATTCGCTTACCACGGTACGTGATTCGCTTACCAGTGGCCGGCGCGAGCAGTAGCGGCGGCGTGGGCGGCGGCGAGGCGGCGCCGGCAGAGGCGGAGGGCGAGGAGCTGGCGGAGGGCAAGGGCGAGGGCGAGGGCGAGGGCGAGGGCGAGGACGTGGACGAGGAGGGGCACTTCACGCTGCTGGCGTCGTCGCGACGGATGCCGCCAAGCTACGGCGCGGAGGTCGTAGGGCGGTGCTCGGAGTAGATGCGACACGTATGCAGCGAAGTCGTGGCCCTCGAGTGCACGCGATGCTCTGAATACACTGCACGATGCCGCAATCACGCCGTCGGTCCACTGTCTTCATGACGTAGGCGCGTGTGGGTGGATTGGGTGAACGGCAGGAAGATGGAGACCTACCGCGGCGTCGTCGAGTCGTACGACGCGAGCACAGGCGAGCACACCATCCTTTACGAGGACAACGAGCGCGCGCCAACCCTGCTCCGCGAGCAGGAGGACGCCGGGCTCTTGACGTGGCGGGATCCCACCGCGCGGCCGGCGCCCACGCGTGCAGAGGAGGCGGAGGGGGAGGATGTGGCGGTGGTGGCGGAGGCGGAGGGCTTGCGTTTGCACCTGTCGATTGGCAGCAACACCGGCTACAAGGGCGTGCGCAAGGACAGCCGGAGCGGCCGCTTCAAAGCGGAGCAGTGGACAGGCGGACGGTACATATCCCTCGGCAAGTTCGGCACGGCGGTGGAGGCGGCGGTGGCGTACGCGCGGGCGGTCGGGGAGGGGCCGACGGCTGCCGCTGCACCCCCTGCCAAGCGTTTTCGTCTCGCCGTCGCTGAGCCGGTGGAGAGGACTGCGAGCGGCAGCGGTTGCGGCGCGAACCGCCCAGACATGCAGATCGACGTTGATGTCGTGGATGGCTTCGAGTTTCGCTCGCAGGAGCAGCGGCATCCGTGCAGTGCGGTGGAAGCGACAGCGGCAGCGAGGACGGCCAACGGAGGTCGGCGGTGATCCTGACGGCAAAACGGGTGGCAAAACGGGTGACGGCAGCAGTGGTGCAAAAGGGTGCGAGCTCTGCTTGTGAGAGCGAGGGCACCGGCGCAGCGATTCTCGCCGTCACCACTGCTGCCGCTGCGCCGACGCTTGCGCTCGACCACGACGTGGCCTTCCTGGGCGATTGCGTCAGGAATTGCCTTCAGTCGCCGAGGTCAGTCGCGTGCGTTCGCGCGCGCATGCAATGCCTCTCGCAGAAGCAGCTTGCAGCGGTGCTGCATGTGTCCCAGGCGTCCCTTAGCAGCTGGCTGAAAGGTGTCCGGCAGTCGGAGGAGAAGGTGCGCCAGGTTGACGCACGGGCGGAGGTGGAGGTGGAGGCGACGGTTGGGAAAGAGCCGCCAGCAGGCTCGGAGGCCATCTCTAGCCAGAAGGCTCCGGTGGCGGAGGGATTGCGCTTGCACCTCTCGAGCAGCAGCAGCACCGGCTACAAGGGCGTGTGCTATGAGCAGCAGAGCGGCCGCTACCGAGTATTCCGGACTGAGGGGAGCAGAACCATCTGCATCGGCGTTTTCCACACGGTCATCGAGGCGGCGGTGGCCTACGCGCGGGCGGTGGGGCAGGCGGAGCCGGAGGCGGGCGAGGAGGAGGAGGAGGGCGAGGAGGGGGAAGACGGCGGTGAGGAGGAGGAGGAGGAGGAGGAGGAGGAGGAGGAAGGCGAGGAGGAGGAGGAGGAGGGTGGCGCTCCAGTCTACCAGGTCGACAAGATCGTCGAGGAGCGCGTCGAGGGTGGCGGCCTCGAGTACCGCAGTGGAGACATGTCTATGGCGGCATCGGCCACCCGCTCCGCCTCGGCCCCCCGCCCCGACGAGCACGACCAGCCCCTGTTGGCGGGGGCGGAGGGGCTGAAGCTGCAGGGCGGTGAGGACGAGGACGAGGACGAGGAGGAGGAGGGGGGGGAGGAGGAGGAGGAGGAGGAGGAGGCTCTGGTGGCGGAGGCGGAGGGGCTGAAGCTGCACCTCGCCGGCGGCAGCACCACCGGCTACAAGGGGGTGCGCAAGCTCACCCAGCAGGCTGGCCGCTTCGAAGCGCGTCGCTACGAGGGGAGCAGGACCATCTACATCGGCGTCTTCGACACGGCGGTGGAGGCGGCGGTGGCGTATGCGCGGGCGATCGGCGAGTACCAGCCTCCGACAGTGTCTGCGGAGGCGGAGGGCTTTCGCTTGCAACTCTCCAGCAACGGCACTGGCTACAAGGGGGTGTGCAAGCAGCCCTCTAGCCGCTTCAAGGCGCACCCCAAGGTGGGCGACAGGAAGGTCTACCTCGGCACCTTCGACACGGCGTTGGAGGCGGCGGTGGCCTGCGCGCGGGCTGTGGGGGGGAGGCGGACGTAGGAGACGCGCGCAGGCGCGCTTAATTCGCTGCAGCCCTCCGTTGAGGGTGGGGTGGTCCGCTGCAGGCCTGCGTCGGCGGTACACACATGCCGCCAGGATATGCCGGAATTAAGCTGTAAAAGGAGCTCCATAAGAGCTCTCGCACGCACGACGCAGGGGCAGTGGAGGCACTAGGCAGTCTAAGGTAAGGTAAGGTAAGGTTGATTTCTCCACAGGCAGTCTCCTCTGGGCTAGAGTCTCCACTTGTCCACTGCGCACTGTGGAGCCTCCAGTACACTGTAGAGCCGTACACCAGAGCCTCAGACCCCTGGAATATGTGTGTGTCGCGTGGCATTTCGAGTTACAATCTCCCCCATCCGGCACATACTGGGGGTTTGTCTTCCCCCCCCCCCCCACCCCACCCACCCCAACCGCACCACAGCGCCACTACGAGGTGTGAAGCGCGAACGCTCCCTCCTGTGTCCTGAGTTTGTGCTGGAGGAAGCAAGGACATCGGTCATCGCGACGAGGCGTCGGTGCACTGGACGTGCAACCAGTGTGTGAAGCGCAAACGCTCCGCGCGTCCTTCGCGTTGCTAGTCATCTATCCTCGGAGGCGGAGAAGGCCTCGGCAAGGTCACACTGTCTCCTCGAAGGCGGAGAAGGCCTCGGCAATGTTACACTGTCTCCTCGAAGGCGGAGAAGGCCTCGGCAATGTTACACTGTCTCCTCGAAGGCGGAGAAGGCCTCGGCAATGTCACACTGTCTCCTCGAAGGCGGAGAAGGCCTCGGCAAGGTTACACTGTCTCCTCGAAGGCGGAGAAGGCCTCGAAAAACAGGTGCTTTCCCCTCTTCACCCCCTCTCAGGCCAAAGTTGGACCCGCGTGAGATCACCCCCTCGCGCGTCCGTCGGTCCCGAGCTGTATGTCCGTGCCAGAGGCCTCTCCCGCCCATCGATCGCCTCTGGGCTAGGGCCGTATGGCAGATTGGGACACGGAGAGGAGGGCGGGACGAATACGCTGGTCCCCAAGAAGATCGAGGGCTTCGCTTGCGCTCTCGTCTCGACTGTGCCACGTGCCACGACGTTCGCCACCCCGGCCTTGCTCTCCGACTTCGCCGTGGGCAACCTGGCCTCGCTGCACGCCTTCCTCGCCGGCCAGACGCGCGGTGCAGCACTCACGGCCCTGCTCGACAGGCGGCTCGAGACCGGGAGGCACACGGACACGCTGCTTACCTACGCTGCTCGGCACGGGCAGGCTGACGCCGCGCGGCTGCTACTGGAGAGTGGCGCGAGCGTTGGTTCCACCACTGGCAGCGGCCGGTCCGCACTGCACATCGCGGCGTATGAGGGGCAGCTCGAGATGGTGGCGCTGCTGCGCGACGCGGGCGCGGCGATCGACCAATGCTGCGATTTTGGGTGCGAGGGCCGCCTCGAGATCACCCGGCTGCTGTTCGACGCGCGCGCTGACGTCAATCTGGCCGGCGACAATGGCGACACGCCGCTGCACCTCGCGTGCTTGGGCGGCGACCCAGACATCGTCCGGCTGCTCCTGAGCGCGGGCGCGATGATAAACCAAGCCGATGAGAGCGGCTGCACGCCGCTGTACGTCGCGTGCCAAGAGGGCCGCCTCGAGATCGCCTCGCTGCTGTGCGACGCTCGGGCCGACGCCACCCTCGCCGCCAACAACGGCGACACGCCGCTGCACACAGCGTGCGCGAATGACTTCCCCGAAATCGCCCAGCTGCTTCTCGATGCTGGCGCGGCGATCGACCAAGTCATGGCGGGCGGCTTGACGCCACTCCTCGTCGCGTGCTACCGGGACCACGCCGCCGTTGTGCGCTTCCTGCTGCGGGCGGGTGCCGACACGTCGTTGCGCGACTCAAACGGGCACACGGCGCAGCAGCTTGCCAAGGAGAAGGGCCACGCTGAGTGCTGGCGCGCCCTAGAGGCGGCGGTGAGGGAGGCGGAGGCGGCGCGGCATGCCGAGGAGCTTCTGGCGGAGGAGGAGAGGGAGAAGCGCACCAGGGAGAAGAAGAAGGCCAAGAAGAAGAAGAAGAAGAAGAAGGGCAAGTGGGCGGCGGCGGAGACGCGGCGGGTCCGTCGCAGGAGCCCGAGGAGGCGGAGGAGGAGGAGGCGCCGACTGCGGCGGAGGACGAGGCGATTGTGGCGGAGGAGCAGCTAGCGGCGGCGCTCGAGGAGAGCGCGAGGCTGGAGCAGGAGAGGCGGGCGGCGGAGGATCGAAGGTCGCCCGCTGCGGCGGCGCCGGCTCCGAGGGAGTAGGAGCCGCCGGACGACTTCATTTGCCCGATCACGACCGAGGTGATGATCGACCCGGTGATGGCGGCCGACGGGCATGCGTACGAGCGGACGGCGATCGAGCGCTGGCTCGCGACAAAGTCGACCAGCCCGATGACGGGCGAAGCGCTTGAGCACACCTTCCGCTCCCCCTCCCACATGGTGCGCCGGCAGATTCGAGAGTGGCAGCAGGCGCATCCGGGGCAGGAGGATGAGCACAGTGAGCATCCCTTCTCGGCTCTAGCCGTTGCCCTTCTTGTGCCCTCCCGCGTACTAGTGCCCATCTTGTGCCTTTGCGGACTAGCATCTCGTGTACGAGGTGAAACCGTAGAGAAAGAGCATGGGAGAGGACAAGGTCACGCAGAATTTGCGAGGCTAGGCTCACTTGTCGCGAAAAAAGAAAACCTGACCCAGCTGAAGTCGGCGGAGCCTTGTGCATGCAGAAGAGCCGCCATCGTATGTCCACGCCCTCGCGACGGCCTCTCGTCGTCTTCATCTTCTATTTTGGCGAGCTGCCGGTCTGGCTGCCGCTTACCCTTCAATCGATGCACGTCAATCCTCGCGTCGACTTTGTCGTCGTTGGCGATGCGGCTCCGCCGGCGGTGCTGCCGCCGAACGTGCGCTTCGAGCAAGTAAGCTTTTCGGCGATACAGACACGGCTTTCGGTGCTCGTGGGCGACGGCAGCAGTGTCCGATACAACGACACATTCGCCGGGCACTACAGCAAAGGCAACGACATGAAGCCGCTCGCCGCCGAGCTCTACCCACAGCACACGGCGGGCCATGAGTGGTGGGCTTGGTCCGACCTCGACGTTGTCTTTGGCGATCTGCTCTCGTGGATGGATCGCGCGACGCGGAACGAGCACGCAGCGTGCTGCCGCTGCATCCCGCGAGAGTCGGACGGCGGGCGTGGCGCGGCCAAGTTGCGGGAGCAGTGCGCAGTCCGTAACGCGACGGGGCAGGTGGGCGGCTGTTGCCTGGTGCCACTGCGCCCGAACGCAAAGACGGGCGAGATGGAGGTGGCCAACGTCAACCTGGTCAATGTGTACTTGCACAAGAAGTACTGCCCGTGCGACCACGGCGAGCGCGTGAATGTCGTCTGCCCGCTCTACCCCAACCCGTGGCGCAAAAAGGCGTGGGGCCCGTTCACAGCCTTCCGCGTGGAGGGCGGAGGAGCGTCGCTGTTCCGCCGCTCGCCGCAGTGGCGCGCGGTCGTCGCGTCCGGCGACTACGCGCACTTCGACGAGTGGTGGGGCGAGTACCACTACTCGCGCGGCTGGGAGACGATGGGCGACGTGCTGACGCGGCTCGCGGAGGTCACGGGCGGCGTGGTGATGAGCAAGATGAAGATGAGGTTTGCAGAGGCGAAGACGTGCACAGACTACGCCTCTGGATGCTCCTTCTGCCCCTGCGGCGCGATGCGGCTCCGGCTGACTGGCTCGACGCTCGTCGTCAACGAGCGGGAGGTGATGCTGCTGCACCTGGCCCAGTCCAAGGCTGCTTGGAGCGAGTCGCGCGTCTCGCTGCCCCAATGGGAGCCGCCAGAGAGAGGCACCGCTGCGGCGAGGAGCTGGGCGCGCGGCTGCTTTGAGGTGCTCAACCTCGGCCGCTTCAACGCCACCTGCGCCGCCTGCTCCGGAGCGGCTCCAGCATTCACGGCGTGGGACACGCCGGGTGCGGTGGAGAAGGCGACCCGGCTCGGCCGACATCGCGTGCAGACGAAGTGGCGTGGCCACATCGTGTACTCGAGCAGTGCCGCAGACTCAATGCAGCTGCAGGCGCGCTCGTGCGACTCCCAAGGGGGGGGGGGGTGAACGGCGCGAACGGATACGGGCGAGTTGTGTCAGGCTAATTCGCACGCCCCACTCGCAAAGAAAACTAACTGCGTTGCCGCATTTTTTTATTTTATCTTCCTGACGACGCGACATCCAGCAGCCTCGTATCTACGCCTCTCCGCCCTGCTAAACCATGGCGTTCTGGGGCCTTGAGATACTGCCCGGCAAGCCGATGCCGCTCAACCTGACACGACGCCTCGTCGCGGTCAAGCAAGCCGCGCTCGTCGTTTCCAAGCCCGCCAAGAAGACCGAGCCGTGCGTACTCTCGGTCTGCTGCCACCACCGCCCGCTCCGGAGCAAAGCCTCGAACCGGAGCACGAGCAGCGCGTCGCGCGCGAACGCGCGCCGCCACACGTCGAGGTTAGGTTAGGTAGAAAGGTGAAGAACAGCCAGGCCCCAGGCTCGGACTGGACACCAGCGCGGTATGGGTGGACGCTAGACAGATGATGACGACACGCACGAGCGACACACAGACACAAACAAGCTCACTAGACACACAGCCAGCTGGCTGCCACACACCCTGAGTTGGCGTACACATAACTCAAGGCCACATCCTCCCTGTCGCCCCCCCCAGCACTCCACCGTGCCAAAGGAACAAACAAGGGCACAACAACACAACAGACGACAGGGAGTAACGTGTGAGACTAGAGCAGGCTTGCTCCGCCTCTAGCAATCTCGCCGCCCGGCGAGGCACGGACGAGACCGTGTGTGGGGTCATGTGAGGTGTCTATGGACGCCCTCCTCAGAGGCTAGCTGCCTACTGCTAGCCCTATCTCGCACTCACGGGCAGTGACAATTCAATGGGTGAGTGTTTGCGAGCAGAGGCGCGTGGGCTAAATCTAGGCCGCACGTCGTGGCACTATGACGAAGTTAGACGTGCGGCCGCAGCGCGCCCGCCCGCCGCAGGCTCGGCGGTGCGCGCGGGTCAGCGAGGCCGTAAAAGAGGCGGAGAGCGGCGCCCGCGTCGAGGCGCGGGCCGCAGTTGTTGCTGGCGGTGTTGGACCCGCTGTGTCTGTTGACACTTCGGAATCCGCGCCGCCGGCGGAGGAGGGGAAGGGCAGCTGCCTTTGCCCGCTGCCTGTTCCTGGTTGTACCCGCGTACCGTCCACACCCGGCCACGAACACACCGCAGTCTCCGGACGTTGCGGCGGGGGTCGGAGTCTGGACTCATTCTTCTTTTGCGAGGTCCCAGGAGCATGCGGTGGGCACGGCAACCGACGAGGAGGTCGAGGAGGAGGCATCGGGGGCGGTTTCGGGCGCGGCGCGCGGCGCCGAGCCGGACGGCCCTCCCACTGCTCGCCAATCTCGCCCCTCCCACTACTCGGTTGCCCAGTGGGCGGCTATCCAGGCGGCTGAGAAGGCGGCATGGGACGCGGCGCGCTGCCCTAGGTTTAGGGCGGCTTTGGACGCTATGCCGGAACAGGGGCCGGGATGTTGCGACGGAGGGCCGGAGCTATGGGCTGGCGCCACGACGTTGCAGGACACGGAGGGGTGGAAGGAGCTGGTGAAGGCGGGAAAGATTCTGCTCTTCGACGAGGATCGGGCGGTGGTGATGCGATATGCTCCTGGCGGGGGGCGCGGTCGAGGGCGCGGGGGTGGGTCGCGCAGTGCCCGCTGGCGGGGCAAGCGGCGAGGGGGTCGCCGGGGGGGTTGGGATGATGGGGATGGTCTTTTCGGCGAGCACTACGGTGCTCGCGGATTCGACTGTCCCCCCGATCGTGCCCACCTCCATGAGGACGACGGCGCCTTCTAAAGGTCCGTCGCAGGCTGTGCCTCTTTTGGTACCTGTGTCGAACCTGTGTGCTCTGCGAGAGAGTTCTTGGAGCACTTGGAGCACTTGGAGTGCAGTCGGCAAGCTCACATCTTTTTGTTGAATTCTTTCGCGGACGCCGACAAGGTTTCAGGCGCCCTTCCGCCGGGGCACGACAAGCATGTCTCGATCGGTGAAGCGCATCATGAGCGAGGCCAAGGAGCTTCAGGAGTGCCCCGCCGCCGACTTTGTCGCCGCGCCCCTCGATGACAACCTCTTCGAGTGGCACTTTACGCTGCGCGGTGTCGCGGGCACCGCATTCGAGGGAGGCCGGTACCACGGGCGCATCATGCTGCCACCCGAGTACCCGTTCAAGCCACCTTCCATCTTTCTGCTCACGCCCAACGGCCGCTTCGAGACCGGCCGCAAGATCTGCCTCTCCGTCTCCGCACACCACCCAGAGTCGTGGCAGCCAGCGTGGGGCGTGCGCACAATCCTGACGGCGCGCGAGAAAGACGCGTTCCGAGCCCGACCCTGCTCGCTCCCTGCCAGCTCTCCACCGCCCTTTGGCTCGCCTCCCCGCTGGACGCCCGCCGCCCCGCCGCCTCTCTCCCTCTCTCCCGTAGCCACAACCCACCCACCGCGCATCCCCGGTGAATCCGTCCGCCAGACCGCGCACGCGCGTTCTCGACACGTGCTCGGCGCGTCACCCACGGCCCGTCGACGACTCGCGCCCTCGGCACCCCCTCCACCCCTCCAGGCACTGATCGCCTTCTTCCCGACCCGCGCCGACGGGGCCCTCGCCGGCGCCGCCGTGCGTAGAGAGCGCACACATGCATGTCCAGCCAGAGCCGATGTCGACTCCACATGCACAGCTCTGAGCGGGAAGCCCTGCTGGAACGGCACAGGGTTGAGCCGGCCCTCTGCCAGTTGCCTCGCCACTGCCGCGCCGCCACGTCGTGTGTGTGTGTGGAGGAGTCTGCCTGACTTGCCCTTGAGCCTCCACGAGCTAGCCTGGTCTCACACCCTGCGCGCCACCAGCACAGTGACTGACAAACCGTGCCTCTCTCTCTTCACACCCTCCTGCTGTGAACTTCACACCCTCCTGCTGTGAACTTCACACCCTCCTGCTGTGAGCTTCACACCCTCCTGCTGTGAACTTCACACCCTCCTGCTGTGAACTTCACACCCTCCTGCTGTGAACTTCACACCCTCCTGCTGTGAACTTCACACCCTCCTGCTGTGAACTTCACACCCTCCTGCTGTGAACTTCACGCCCTCCTGCTGTGAACTTCACACCCTCCTGCTGTGAACAGGCCTCGACTACTCGGATGTCGAGCGGCGCGCCCTCGCGCAGCGCTCGCTCGAATGGCGGTGAGACACCTCCGAGACACCTCCGAGACATCTCCGAGACACTTCCGAGACACTTCCGAGACACCTCCGAGACACCTCCGAGACATGCCCGAGACCCTCTTCCCGCATCTCCCGCCCGTTTGAGGTGTCTCTCAGTCTACGCCGAGCCCCCCCCCCCGACCAGCTGACGCGCATGGGAGAGCTACGTCGTGCAGTTTCTCCGGCAGGCGCTCATCGATACCGTCGACC